TATTATATGTTATTAAATTTTATTTAAAATTAATATTAAAATTATATATAATTATATATAAAAATAAATTTATACTTATGTATATTTTATCTATAAAGACACTTTTTTATATGTGACTTTATGTAATATTGAAATAAATATACACATTTGATTGCACGTTTGTCACTTGTGAATGTGATTTTCCACGTTTAATCAGGAATTATAATTACATTTGACGTATGTAACAACAACTAATAACTTTCTATATTAAAAAAAATATATTGTTAATATGATTTAAATTATTTGTCCAACTTTACCAAGATAAGATGTAGGTATAATCCAATAATATTGACATGACCACAATTTTAAATCACTAACGTTTAATTTAACTCCTGCCGACTAAAGATAGATCACAATATCTAGCAGCTTCGTCTTCACATGTACATCTTGTGTAAAACACATCACAATACATGCATGTATATGTAACAAATAATACATATATACATATAATTATATTTATAATAATCGTGACAAGGTTCATTTTTTCACGGAACATGTTTTGAAATTAGATACCTTTTTTATTCCATATCGTATTCGATATCAAAATATGTTTAATATGTTTGCATCAGAAACAACAGAATATTCATTTTATCCACCAGCTGTACATGTGTGTAATTCTCCCTATAGATTTTTTTTTTCTTTTTCACCATCAATTTCCCATAGATTTGTAGTAAAAGGCTCCTCAAACTATTCTCTGCCAGTGCCTGTCACAATTAGTGGAACGATTCTATTATTAAGTGGACAGTAAGACTAATGGCATTTGTAGTTTTTCAAACCTCTGTTCAGTTGGTAGAAACACTTTGACCCTACCATCCAACTCCGATGCACCCATATATCATCATTAAAGCATCATTTAGATACTAAAAGTCTTGATCCGACAGTTTTACTGTGGAGAGTGTTCTATTCTAAATCACAGTGAATTTACTATAATATAATTTAAAATTTTAAGATATTCAATAGGTGAATATTTTTAACTTATATACTATTTAAAGCGTTTAACTTTAACTGAGATTTGAAATCCAACAAAAAATACTTTATTTAATTAAAATTTTTAAATATTATTTCTTTTTTATTTCTTTACTTACATTTGACACATTAGTTTCATAGTTAAAAAAAAATTATATATCTCTCAATCATTTCAAACTAAACCATCATCTTTTTTAATACTTAATCTTCTTAATCACATATTATTTCAATTTATCCTTTTTCATCTATGTCTAAATTTAATTTTAATATTTTGTAAATTATAAATAATTAAAAATAAACTTATATCATATTTTAAATTATTTATTATATATGTAAAATTATATATATATATATATATATGTATTATTTATTTAAAAAATACTTATTTATCATAAAGTTTAATTATATAAAAATAAACATTCGTCTCATCCCTGTATACTCACAAATTTCATGTATATATACTTTCTAATACTATTCCTAGTTTGTACTTCAAATAACAACTATACGCACTGTATATACATATAATTTATATAATTTGCATAACTAAGTTGCAAACAAAATGTTGTTTAGTTGCTATTACTGTGGATAGTAATATGATAATTATAATCAATAATGCTACCCTTTTCTATACAAATTTCAAAATGAAGTCACTACTCAATATCAAACAGTGAAAGTGAAACATTCGATAAGTTGTAGGTTATCAACCAAAAAATAGCTTTGTCGCTACCTCTAGTTGGCCAATGCATATAGAGTAATAGAGGAACATATCACTATTCACTGCTGAGAATTATTTATGATGTTGCCCTTTCGGCTTATAATTGTTTGTATAGTTTCAGAAAGCGTGTGTGAATTTTTTTGACATATTTTATTGTCATTTTAGAAATTATTTATGGAGAGAAAAATGTAAAAAAAAATTGATTTTTTTTTCGAATTATGATCTTGCTTTGATATAAGCTTTAAAATGTTTTTTAAAATTTTTTTTACCGAAAATATTCATTATTTTTAGTAAAAGAAAACTTTCAAAAATATTTCTAATTTGTATTCAAACAAACTTAGTCAATTAACATGAGAGTCATCATTATTTTTCTTATTTTTTTAACAAAAAATAGTATATATAATGACATACAAAAAAATATTATTGTAAATAAAAATATATGTAAATATAAATTTATTTAACATATAATTATACATATTTTAGTGTTATAAGATTTAATAACATGTATTGTGTCTCATTATAATTTATATTTATAATTTTTAACAATATACCAACTTTTATTATATCCATAGTATACATAAAAATAATTTTTAATAATAAGTATTATGTCAGTGTAAAATATGTGTTACTGTTAGATAATTTTTTTTAATATTTATTTGTGGCAAGTAAATAAAATTTTTATGTTGCACCACGTACAGATGTGAGATTTTCCATTTTTAGATCAGAACTCATAAGTGATGTATATAAACCACGTAATGTTATCCCAATAAAAATAAATAAATAGAAATAACATGTTACGTGAACAAACACTAATTAGAGCTAGCTGATATAGAATAAAATAAAGTAAATTAAAATTTTTGTAAGTTAAAATCTGCTTTTCACTTTAGTTTTTTTAAAAGATTAGATAAGAGGATTTTTATAGAAGTTAAAAATATATATAAATTAATTTTAATTTATAAAAATTAATTTATTTAAATTTATTTTACATTTTATTCTGGTATAAATATTGTTTACTAAGTTGAAAAGATTTGTCCAAACAAAACTTAAGAAAGAAAAAAAGAAAAAACTTTATTGCAGAAAGAAAAAGTAAAAAATTGGAGTAGCTATCACGTTGGCTGAAACTACCTCTAGTAGATATTTGTTTGTTTTATTTATACTTTTATTATAAATAATTTGTAAAGTGATATGATATAACTTCATCTAACAGGCAGTGTACTTATAACAAAAAAAAAGGTATACTTATAATTAAAAAATATTCGACATTTTTCGTATGCTTTTATTTTAAGTTAGGTATTAAAATTTGTTTTCGTTTTTTCTCCCATAGGTATTAAAGTTTTGAGTTTGGTTCAACATCATATTAACTGGATTTTTTTTATCCGAGAAGTTTATTAAAGATAAAGCGACCAAAAGACAGCTATTAGAAATGATGGGTGGGCCAATTATCTATAAGTCTTTGAAGTCCTAAACATCTTATCACTCGCCTTCATTTTCTTTTCCTTTTCCATAATTATGGTATTAATTATTATCAGTAAAATAAAAAAAAAATAAAAAAAAAAAAGATGCTAGTTACAACTTGTTGCTGGCGGATAAACAGGAAAAAAAATTGTAGAATATGACTAGACTTAGCAATAGTATGAGTTGTATTTTCTGAACAAAAACTAATCAATCTGTCCTATGTAATGATGTTTGATAGTCAGCACCATCGCTAACCACAATTAAGATGTTAACATCAACAAAAGGACCACAACCTAAGTGACCAAACCATGCGAGTTAGTTTCCTCAAGGGAACATTTATCAATCATCATGTTAACTCAACTAGAAAATGATATGTTATATGCTACATTTATGTTACATTTAATCTTCCATGCGAGGTGCATATATGAATATAATCATTATCTCGTATATAGCTATGCCTTTCCATCAAAAAGAAAATGAAGAACAAATTTAAGTCCATAAAGTAAGGAATTGATAATCAATGACGTTTGTGAAAAGTTACTCCCTTAATATTTTCATAAGTGGTTTTGTTTTCCAACATATTACACTTAGGAAGTATTTAATAGGAAAAAAAACTTTTAAGTTTTCTATGAATTTTGAGTTGAAAATAAAATCCTATATTGGTGTTAAAAATTTTCAAATATTCTCAAAAAATATTATTCTTAAAAAAAATAATGATAACCATGAACAAATTAAATATTTTCGTAGGTATAAAAATCTTAAGGTAAGAATTTTTCTTTTATCATATTTATCTAACATTTTCAAAAGTTTTTTTTAAAGCATATCAGATATATTTATAACACTTTGAATTCCTAAAATCATGATTTCCGGAAAAAAAAAATTCTTAGAACATAAATGCTAATAAAAACCGTGTACTAAATATATACTTTGTTAATTTAGAGGAGTGAGAATGAGAACTATATATACACACTATTAGTTTTAGTTTCAGATAATTAAATAGCTTAACAGCAAGTCAGCAATTAAAAAAGAGAAGACAGGGCCATTTATGAGCATATATAATCATATGAGAATTATCTAAACACCCAACTGCACAGGATAATGAAACATGAACTCCTTCTATTAGTTATCACAACTTTAGACTCAACAAATTCTTCTACCTAACCTCAAACTCAAATTAATTATATTTGCTACGAGAGCCTCATATTTGTATTTCCATTTAGTTTACTTTTCTCTTTTGAAGTTGTCATATACGTGTGTGCGAGTTAACATTAGCACAAATCACAAAGGAAAAATGACTCTTATTTTTAGCTTTATCTTCATGTCATTCTAGAATTGTTTAGAAGTTCAATTTCAAATTCGCTATAGGTTGAATTTTATTCCCGATCTACAAGTTTGTGGGTCCTCTTGCAGGATATTAATTTTAGTTATCAAAAATGTTATTTTGCACAATTGTCTTTTTATTTTGAAAAGTGTACTTTTAGGATGACTTTTTAATCCATTTAATCAATTACGATATTGAAAAGGTATGAGTGAATAGAGAAAAGTTATTATAAGACTAAAAAAAACTCATTTTTGTATGCTTACATATAAACTATTTATATCACAAGTATTGAGAAAGTTATTTATCCATGCAATAAATTTTTATATACAAAAAAAATAATTATGTGATTGTGAGAGTATGAGAGATAAAGAAATAAAATAATATTATATTATATTAATAATATAAATTATAAGTATACATTTTGGCGCAATAATTAATCCTGACCTGAAGAAAAATAATCTGGAATTAATATCAATATATGAAAGAAGTAGAAGATGGAGAAAGTTGAATGAAATGAAGACTTTTATACATTTATATGCAATCAACACATTAAATCGGTTACATTTTACAACAATTATTAATTATATCTATACAGGATATTCTTGACATCAGAATAAATGGAAGAAAAAAAAAGTACAGGATATCCAATAATATTCCTATTGATCTGTCATGGATCCTGGTTAGCTCCTTCCAAGTTGCAAGACAAAACACAGAACAAAGTACAGCAATTTGTGTTCCCTCTGTACAAGGAAAAACAAAACAAAAACCCAACACAAACTACGTGACATATATCACATATTCACATGCAATTGAGTCGTTATCCAATTTTGGAAACCCACTTCAGCCACCACGCAACACAAGACATGCTTTGAGCTTGTGTACTTTACTACTTTCATAAACCTGCGTCAAACGGCACGCCACTCCCAGGAATCCACGAGTCCCCAGCGAGGAAATCTCCAACAGTGAATTTCACAGCCTCAGAGCTGCTTATCACACGAAACCCTGCCCATTTCACCCTCCCTCCTGTGTCACTACCTGCTCCTGTATTTGCATATTCACCGTAGTAGAGAGTGCTCAGAGCAAAGTCTCCACTCCACGGAGACCAACCTGTACAAATTAACAACACAAAACTCTTACTCCTACTACTCGTACGTATACCTATTCTCCATATATCATTTCTTTCTGCTTGTATTCCCACTTTTCATATATCATTATCTATGGTTTAGCCTGTTTAGTTTCACAAATATTTTTTTATCTTTATTTTGTATAAAAATATTTCAAAATACTAATATTTTTTTTTTCATTTTTTATCCAAATATTTAAAATAAAAAATATTTGTAATTAAAAATAGAAACAGACAATATTGTTAAAAGTAATTACGGGTACTGTAAAAAGAATAAGTACTGCACCCCTTGGAACTTTGCTGCTTTTATAACAGCTAACTGTAGGTAGAATCTAAGTGAAACCCATTTTGATAAATAAGTCCCACTTCATACTTAAGCTTTTCCTTTTCATTACCCAGAACCAGAACAGTACAGCGGCCGAAAAGATTAAGTCCTTAGCTTTACTATGTAACAACATAGGAAAACAGACATGAGATGTGGGCCTGATTAGTAATTATCTAACAAGGAGACCCTCTCATGTCTCTTTCTTTTGGAAAATATCAGGATACCTGATTAATATTGAAGTAAGTTGAGGAATAAAGTAAAAAAAAAATAGATATAATTAATAATAAGTGAAGTGCCTAAAAGAAGAAAAGAAATAAAATAAAAGGAAAATATGTGTGTTTTAATAAAAAAAATTCTCTTCTTATTGAAAAAAGTTCTAACAAAGTTTGTCTTAAGACTTTAGTCACAAAATTTAAAGTGAATAGTAGTGTAGCTTATTAAAGAATAATATAATCGAATAAAACTTAAAAATAAGTGACTTAAAAAAAATATTCTTTACAAAATAAATAAGAATTGTTTCTTAAAAAAACTGCTTATTTTAAAAAAAAAAATAGACAAACACATTAAAAAAAAGTGTTTAATTTATTTTAAAAAAAAATCTCTTAAAGAAAAAAAAAAGTTTAAACAAACAGAACAATATTATATGTATTTTCGTGTTACTCTTGGATTAAAAGTAGAATTTGAATTTGATAATTAGTTATTAATATGTATTATGTTAATAAAAGTGTGAATGATCGAAAAGGAGCACTATATTTAAGTTTAATCGAAAAGAACATGTGCGACAAAGGAGAATGAAAAAGATGGGTGGACCTGCAGGGTTAATCAAGCTATCAAGGGAACTCTTCATGACGACGGTTCTGGAGTACTTCTGCCATGGCCGACCTAGATAGGTTCTGAAAGAGCCCTGCACGGCCTTCAAGTCTCCAGCTGCAGTGATGCGACAGTTATGAATGATGATGCCTGTGTTCTCATTAGGGTCTGTTCTCGCCTGCGCCGTCACCGTGTTCTGCTGGTTGCTCATCGGTCTCCTCACGTAGATGTTGCAGTTCTGAAGCACCGTCACGGCGTCCCCGAATATGAAGTCTATGGTTCCGTATATGTCGCAATCACGGTAGAACTGACGGTTCGCGTACACGTACAACGTGTCTTGGTACCCCTTGAAGCTGCACCGGTAGAACACCGAGTGGTCGGCGCCGGACCGGAGCGCCACCGCCTGGTGCTTTTGCGGCCCCGCTGTGTTCTCGAACGTCATGTCCCGAGCGATGAACCCGTCACCGGAAACCGCTGCAACGATAATATTCAACGGTAGAAAAGTTATTATAGAATCGATGCAAAAATAAAAAAGTTATGAAGTCTTTCATCATAGAAGAGATATTTTCACTGAGTGTAAATTGAAAATGTCTCAGCGATGCATCACTTTTGGTTTTGTGTGACTTTTGAAATGAAAATTAATAATATATGATTGATTTTTGTTATTGTTGTTGATTCCAGCGTTATTAGTTACTTTTTACTGTTTGAAGAATATGAAAAGTTTTGATTATTTCATTCGTTGGAAAATGACAAGAAGTTCTGATTATGATCGTCCGTAACACTAAGTTGTACAGAAATAAGTACTACTGCATGTCCCTGTCTCGATGGGGCCAGGTGATAGAGTTTAATTTTCAGTAGAGTGAAACCAAATTTTTTTTATTTTTTATATGTTATGATCAAAATGTCAAAAATTAAACGATGATGAGTAGATCATTATAATATTAAAATAAGGTACTCACATATCATCGTTTAATTTTAGAACTTGATTAATAATAAGGATAGAAAATTTTGATTTAGGTTTTGTTTATATATATATACATGCATGGTTTACATGAATATACACATGCAGGAGTTAACGATGAACTTACCAAAAGTGGCAGAACGAAAAGTAGTGGAGCCATCTTGTGCGTTATCATTACCAGTAACAACGGTAGCACCCATTCCATCTCCAATCATCAGTATGTTCTTCATTGTCCTCTTGATATCAACACTCTCTTTGTAAACACCAGCTTTGACGTGCACAACAACACGTCCTTTCCCACTGAGTTTAGCAGCTGCAGCCACACCTTCTGAGATGGTCTTATAGTTCCCACTCCCATCTTGTGCCACCACAACATCAGCTTTTGGTGCTGATTCCTGAAGAAGCCTCCTATCTGAATGTGACATCCAATAGGGGAAGCCATCTGAAAGCAACCTTCGCCCACCACTTTGTTTGGTCGATGCTGAGGTTGATGATGTCGTCAAAGTCATAGCCTGGCTAATGGACAAGGAATTGCTAAGCAATTTGGAGAAGTTGCTTAGCATGGAAGGGAAGTAGTTTAGGTGAGAGGGAAGGTTGAATTCAGTGAAACCATTTTGGCATGTTTGATGGTTGGCAATGGATGCACTTTGCCAGGTCAATCTGTCATTTAGGTTGTTTGAGTTCATTGAGCGTTTGAGTTGATAAAGTGTGTCCTCATAGAGCTCCAAACAATCTTCCCATGCCGACTTGGCTCTCTTGTCCTTGAAATTATCCAAGTCCATTTTAGAGACAAGTTTATGAGCCTCAATGGCTTGCTCCATGGTGACCTTAAGGGCCACATCATGGAAGGAAGAAGATGAAGCATCTAGGGCTGATAATGTGTTGGTGGTGGTGCCAATGTAATGCTTGCACACAAGGGGGTAGGGGGTTTCATTGCATGACAATTCTTTGCCATGCACAGCCAAGAGAGAATAAAGAAGGCAGTATCCAATGAAACAGTTCAAAAAGAGCTTGTCCATATGGAAAATGAAAATGATCCAAATGCTTTTTCTATAGGAAAGAGAGGATTCTGTTAAAAATGCTTATGATGAAAAGTGCAAGAGAAGGATGCTATATATAGCCTTGAACTTGGCATTGGTAGGCCATGCAGTTATACATATATGTGGGTGTAAAAGCGCAAGAGGAACCCACATTAGGGTTTTACATTTCTAAAGTGCGCAAGAGGAACCCACATTGAGGGACCATGCATGATGTTTACGTGATAGATAAAACATCGTTAGGGTTAGCTAGTGCGTTACCAATTCGTCAAATTAAATTAAAAGGGTGACAGGGAAAAGAATCTTATGAGTTTATTCGTATTTTTTTGAAATAAAAACACTATGGTTTTCTAAATCTATATTTGATTTAATTCAAGCAACCAAGCTAAGCCACTAGTTTATTCAACTTAGTGTGTCTTGCAATTATTGTGCCACGTAAATTCGCTTTTTCTGTTTGTTGGAAATTTCTGCCACGTACGATTTCAAAAAGTGGAAGTGACAGATGCAAAATAACAATTAGATAATGGTCCATGCAGTGCTCTTTCTATTTCAAAATATCACTTTTAAAGACGTTAGTCTCCTAACTAATTGCATTAGAGAGCTACATAAAGCTTTCACTGCCCTGTTGGTTCCCACTCGTTTTGATTGTATAATTTCAACCACCTATCCTCTCTTGCAAATCCATGAAACTTCTTTCTAATTATGAGAATCATATTATTATGACTTTTCGAATCAAGCTTTATGCTACCCAAAACCTAGGGTATTACTATTTCCATTGAATTTGATATAAAGCTCTTTAAAGTTAATCTTGAGTCACGTTTCTTTGAAATTTTAGGCATGTTAACAGGAAATATATAATTATTCGTACATCTGTTCACTTAACAATTTAAGCTTTTGGAATAGATGATTCGTTATCTGATATTGTATTAGAGTCTCTATAATTAATAATTCAATCATTGTCGCTCTTATTTTTCGTATCAAAAATTGCATTTTGCACAAAGTAAGTAAACTTGCATACGTATTACAAGCCCAAAGACTTTTTAATAGCATATTAGTATGTAATAAAAAAATTCTTATTTGAAATAAATAATATCGTTTATGAATTGAAGCTTATAATTCAAGTTCACACTTAAGCTGAAATTTGAAGTTATTTTGGTTAAATTTGTGAAAGTAACTTATAACTCCTCTATAATTTATTTTCAATTTATTTTAATAAACTTTATAGCGATACACAGTGTTAACGTTTCTTTCAATATGTAGTACTCTCTTAATCACAACAATTCCTCTCAATGTTTTGGAGTTTATTTTGTTTTTACTCGTATTGTTTTGCACAATTTCCCGTGCAACTTTTGTGAAGGGAGAAATTTTTTCGTCTAAACCAATGAAGGTATTTGTCAACCAATCATATTCTGGAACACCGGTGACTAAGCGTGTGTTTGGGTTAACTTTTAATTTTGTTAAAATCAATTGAAAGTGAAAATAACAAATAGTTGTTTTTAACTTCTTTTTTTAAAAATTTTATCATAATTTTGAGAGTGGTGATTGATTTTAAGAGAGGTATTCATCAAACATACTATAAGTTCTTATATCTATAACTTTTTTTTTTAAAATCAGTTTAGACGACTTTTCACAAAGAAGAAGGGGAGATTAATTGATCGAATAAGACTCCTTCTCGACTCATGAAATAAAAATTAAAAAAATCATAAGTGAGGAACTAAAATATAAATAAATATTTTCTTTTGATTGAGACTTTATTTTCAATAATGTTTTTTATTTTGATATAAGTTTTATTAAAAAAAATAACATTAAAATCAAATAATATTAACGAATTTTTAATTAAGAAATAAATTAATTAATATATTTAAATTGGAAGGAATAGTTGATTAAGTTATTTATTCAAACATATATACTTTAAATTGGTCGTGTGTCTTCACTTCAAGATATGTAGACTTTTCACAAAGTGGAAGGGGAGCTTGAGGGAATAAGTTTAGCATGTAATATGTAAATATAAAACCGTTCTCACGTAAAACACAAAGTAACATTTTCTGTTCATGTTTCTTCACCTTCGTCTAATAACTTGAGCTTTGTCACATCACCAGTTGTATCCAATAATATTAAGTGACTTATCACTATTATATATTCTTTTTCACATATATAAGCAAATCAAATTAAGGAAAAAAGACGTCTTTAAGTCTGGGGCAAAGATGTTTTTTACACTTCTAATTAATCGTTATTACTTTGTTACAGTATATCACTAAAAAATAAAATGACTTATATTTAAAAATAAAATAAATACAATTCAAATACTTAAATTTATGATTATTTATCAGTAAAAAAAAATTATGATTATTTATTTCGAGTAAAACTTAAAAAACTCTTGTTATACAATTCAAACAATTATGGACAGATAGATTTTCTAAGTTAATATAAAATAAATATTTTTCTATAATTTTTAAAAATTTTGGGTGATAATTTTTTGTTTCTACATATCAAATATTCTTGTATAAAATCAAAATAATGAATACATAAATTGTAGTGTATTTATATTTTTGTGTAGGTAGACATAAGCATGGAGCAGGTGTACGTCGGTGGATGAATTATATTGTATAGAGGGATGTGGTGCAGTCATTAATTAGGTGCATAAGATGTAGGTTCCTTTGGTAACAGAACCATGTAGTTTTTTTTGCAAACACATGATATTACTCGTGAAGGTTTGGGAGATGATTATGATAGCATTGTTGCTTTTGTGAACTAAAGCAGTAATTAATTAGGTGAGCGTCACACACAGACACAGTAGTCTCTCCCCCATTTCCCCTACAAGCAAATTACAAGAGATATGGTTGTTGCTGAGTCGTCTACGTTTTCATGTATACATAATATAATACGTACTACTTACGCTTTCTTCTCTGTGGCCCCCAATAACCTGCACTCCTTCTTATCTACCTTTTCTTAAAATACATTAATTGCACACGTGTCAACCCATTGGCCTCAATTTCTTCATACTCATCTACTCAAATTACTATACATATGGATAATTTCTGCTTCTGTGTCCTTCATTAATTCATAATTAGTTCTTAATATAAAAAAATGAGAATATAGTACTCCTTGTCATAATCTCTTTCATTAGGACAAAGACTACTCCAACCACCAAGGCATGCAAAGGCATAATCAAAAGTTGTGAACCATATCAGCAGACATGCTCGTCAACGAATTTAGGAGCAACCTTCGCCACACATTTTTATTTCTATAATTTGTTTAAATCAATTTTCATATACTAATTTTATAACTTTATAATTTTTTCTTAAATTACTCTAGTCATTAATGAGCTTTCGTGAATTTTTAGGACTGTTTGATTGGCATTTTATTTACTACGTTATAACCTGCAAGTGCAAAAACATTATTGTCTTTTTCAACGATTAACTATTCGATCCGGAAACTTGATTTAGAATCGCTTAGTATAAATATTTTGTATGAGCAACAATAAATTAAAATTTCTTTCTGAACTAAAATTATCTTACATATTTTAACTTTCGAAAAAGTTAAATAAAAAAGTAATACATAAATTAACTTTAACTTATAAAAAAATATAATTTATTTTACTTCCTAATTTATTCTCTTCAAATATAGGTTTTCATGAAAACAAAATATTTAAAAATATACGGTATTATTTTTTTACTACAACAATCATTTAAGACAATATATGTGAAGTTTGTTATAGGCGAATGTAGAACTGGGTCAAGTTTGCTAGCCTCTCTACTCTACTCTACTCTACTCGGCTCAAAAGTTAAATAGGTTCGATTTTGTAAATCCGACCCGATAAATATGGGATGAAATCGATTAACTTAACTTGTTAATATAATATACTAATTTTAATATTATATTTAATTTAACAAATATATAAATTAGTTTTTAGTTGTTAATTTTAAAACACGACATAAATTATGTTCATTAATAAAAAAACTGTAAAAATAAAAAACGTATATAATTATAATTAATGTATATTTTATAATATAGCTTTCAAGATAAATAATATTAATACAAAAATTATATTGTGTTAAAAAAAATATTATATATCAAGTCAAGGAGTTATATTATAAACACAGATGTTTTTTTTAAGAAAATATTAAACATATGATATTAAACCGATTTTAAACGGACTAAAAGATGGTGTAAAGTTCTGTTTAAAATTCATTAATTAAGTTTAATTTGTTAAAGTGGATTCTGTAAAAAGTTATTTTTGAGTTGGATCGTGTGAGTAAGATGTGCAGACTATGATCAGCCCTACCATTTATCTTGTATTTAGTATTCTGAAGCTACGTGATTTATTTTAATGGATTGTAGTTTGATGATGCAACGGGGCATCTAATTTAAAATTCTGGTAGCTATCAGATTTCATACTATATGGGTATAACATCTTCCAAACAACTGCAAGATTGGAAACACTACGTTTCAAGTATTTATTATAGGACTTATGCTGATGTTCTTCTGCATCGGGTAAGTTTTCAGTTTATCTTTCTCCTATATATTACTGTGCTGAACTTAGTTTAGGAATAAGCTAATCTCAAATGAAATTCATAAAAGTTATTAGAGCAAATCTTCCACATATATGAACACTGCTCCTTGCACGAGCCGACACGGTATGTACTTTATATAAAGTGGAAAAAGAATTTCATATATGAACCATTCAATTTTATATATATGTTATTCTAATGAAACCCATATATCAAATCAAATAATTGCCTTTATCTTGGAGTAAGCAAAGTTTACACTAAACAGCAATGTTTTTAATTATTTATGAAGACAAGTGGGAACACAATGTTCAAATGAATTGAAGAAGGAAAGCATGCATGATTATGACTTGCTAACAAAACCTCTGCAATGCATTGACTTATATTATTATGTAATTTATGTTATTGTTATAATGCGTAGCATAGCCCTTTCTTTGTTGATGTATGCTGTCTCTGTTTCTACAAAATTTGGCATAACTCGTGAAGCCTTTTATGAACATAATGATTCAGTTTCTGTTTTACCAGGGATTAGGGCATAGGGAACTTTATAGACCATACAAGGTGTTCAAAGCAGCCTATGTTGCATAGTTTGATGATCCAAAACCGAAAAAATTTCCTCCCAACCATCATTCTGGTGTCTGACCAAAGCCGCAAGAAAACTTCCAAATAATCGATTAGAGTTTAATTACCATGATGAGACCACGGACACGCCGAAAATTGTGCCCATATGTAGACCTAATTTACACTCAGATAAAAATTCATTAGTTTGACATAACGAGTTTACCACTTATATATATTTCTTATCTAAGGATTGGAATTTTAAATCTAATTTAAATATGGAGTTATTGTTTTATTTTTATAAGAGTTAATCCGAGAAAATAATTACATCTCTTTATTAAAAAAAAAAAAAACTACATATGTAGTTGTTTTGATGTCTACCTCCAAGGATTAAAGCTCTTCATTTTTTTCTTCGTATAGGAAATTTAGACTTTTTTTTTGTTTGTTTGAGGGTAAATAAAGAAAAAAAAATAGATATAAAAATATATTAACTTTTTACTGTATTTTTTAGATGAGAAAAAAAAAACTGAAGTTTTTTAATAAGTCTCGTTTTAAAAAAGCCAAAAATGTCATAAAAGTGAGAGGAAATGTCAAATGTGTTTGTTGATTGTTTTTATTTCACTTTTTAAAAAAAATAATCAAATTTTATAATACAAAAATAACAAATGATTTTCCATTAATTCAATAACATGGTAAACATTTTAAACTTTTTATAGTTAAATTTATTTTTTAATTAATATAAAAAGCTTATGCGATTTATTTATTTTATTTCACTTTCTATTCATCTAAATAAATGAGAAAAGAAACTTTTTTTTTCTTTATCCAAACAACAATTTATTTTTTATTTTTTTATTATTTCTATTTCTTTTCTAGAAACCGTGAGGCATAATTCATGACAATCCAATCCACTCACCAACACAATCCAATAACTATTTAAATATGCAGATAATATATCTTATAAGTAAAGCTACATTTCTTGGGCTTCAAAGCCCTGACAAAATGGCAGAGCTAGACAAGAGAATCTTTTGTTTGAAGGGGCATTCACAAGCACAATGAGAAGAAAAAACCTTATGACATTGAGCATTAGATTTTGGTACGGGCAAGGAGACGCCACTCTTGACCAAACAGAGCTCATAATAAGATGGATTGAATAAATTTTTTATTGAATTATAATGAATGAGTCAAACAAATTATTGATCCATTTATAATTTATTACAAATTCTATCGATCCATGACTTTTTCATAAAAGATTATCCAACTCATTCATTAGCCTCTTATATACCAAAGAGTTCAAGAGTCCTTCCTTAAAGACCAATGAATTTTAAACTATTTGATTCAATAAAATATATTGGATGATTCAAAATCCATATCCAATAATTCAATTTAACTAATTCATTAATTATTATTATTATTAAATTGAATAATTAGTTAAATTTATATGTAAATGGATTAGATAAATAGTAAATAATTAAATTGAATTGCCACTCTACCCAAAATATAAAAACAATTATTTCAATAAAAGTATGGCTGGGAATTTTAGTATCACCATGTAGCATTCAAGTCCTGAAAGTTAGTGTAACTCAATAAATCTATAATCTTGTTTGAACCATATACGAGCATTATGCACACAAATTTCCCAACAAATATATATACAGTCATCTAGACAGCAACACGGGCTTGTTCCTCTGCTCACTCCTTCAGAATAATAAGAACAGTAGAATTAAATCTGTAACCACATCCATTAGTAATTCAGATAATCCATCTCTATAAATTTGTTTGCTCGTTAAGTGGTGATTAACACGAGTAAGTAGGTTTATGTCCAATCATTGAATTGCTTAAAACTCCTCTTCTTTGTATACATAAATTATTCCTTAGCACAATACAAAAATGGGTGTGGAGTGAAAGATAAGTAAAGTTGAATATCTACGTTTTAATTGACAGATCTTTCAGCTGCTGCGGATCCACCTCAGATGGTGATCTGGTGAGGGCACACTGTGCAGTGGTTGTTTTTGGAAAAGCAATGACATCCCTGATGGAATTAGCCCCCGCCAACAGCATAACTAATCTGTCCAATCCAAAAGCTATGCCTCCTACATTTGATATACAAGAATTATGAATAAAAATCTACAATCATTGATCTTATTGAGAAACAATAGGTGACCCTAGCCCAATGCTTCATGATGTGTTCAAAAAGATACAATGATCAAATTGTAAAACTGTAATCATGCATGCAAGTGTGTAAAAAGAGGATTTTGGGCTATAAAATATAAACTACTTTAGAACGTCAACAAATCTGCATACCATGTGGTGGAGCCCCCATGTCAAGCGCTTCAAGAAGATAACCAAACTTCGCTTCAGCCTGAAAGAAATTACAATGCGTAATGCATAATTCATTTTGGAAAACATTTTGTAAAATTTTAATAGGCTCGTATTATTCCTACCCTTTAGCCATTCACTTATAGATGTCTTCAGTTTTCTTTCCGTTAAGATATGTACCCTTTTTTAATTATCAGGATGGTAATTAAAATAATCAGACTACTCAGATTTACCATCCATTCATTCGGAAACATTGTGGACGGTGAAGCCAGAAAAAGTAATGGGGCACAGCAAAACAATAACCATGCATAATTCTAGTTTAAATTTGTTTGGAAACATGAAACATTTTATTAATATAAAATGGTACAAAATAAATAAAAAAGATAATAACTAAGCGCAGGAATGGAGTCAGTTATTTATTATTTCGGATTAATGATCCACTAACCTGCTCCACTGAGATGCCAACAATCTCCAAAACCTTTTGTTGTATATCACGTTTGTAAATTCTCAAACTTCCCCCACCAATCTGACAAAAAATAGGCACAAATTAATACTGTTATTAATTATTACAGATATCAGTGGTCAAATCATCAGCCTCACAGCTTACAGGGAGAGGAAAGTGGTCAGAAATGAATGTGTTACCTCCACCCCGTTGTAAACCATGTCATAAGCCAATGCACGAGCAGATGCAAGGTCATTCATGTCTTCAGGATTTGGTGCAGTAAAAGGATGATGAAGAGCCTGAATTAGACAATGATTAAGAATAACAGCAATAAAAATAACAGAGACAGCTAGAAAGTATTTATTACACCCAAACTCTTTACTAGGACATATTTTATTCCCTTAAGATCATAATATCAAGCACCAACCACAGGCCTTCCTGTTGAATGTAATAGGGAGATTTGGAGAAAGATAAAAACATAATATTTTAGAGAGAATTTAGAGAATGAGAATGCTTTATTATTCAAGAGAAAGTAGTACATAGGTTCTACATATATCATCCATATATATACACTCGTTAGACCTATTGGAGACTATTTCCTAGGCTAATATTAATCAAGTACAACTTCCTAGAGACTATTAACCAATACTATTTCCACTAACTTCCCAAACAGAGGAATTGAATAACATTCGGGGGCCTGGTGAAAGGAAAATTGCCAATTCACACATTGACATAAATTCAAAGAAAAAGAGAGAGGAACAACGAAGATAATTATAATGACAGAGCAATCATACAATTTCAAAAGTACACATTTATTATTATTAAGAAATACACTGTTGGAGTGTTGGGTGTCATTAAAAGCAGAACAAACCTCAAGCCTCTGCTCTGGATCATTCCACTCAAACATTGGAAAATCAGTGATCCACAAAATTGAATGCCTGCCCTAAAACTCAAACAAAATAACAAAATAATATTAGATAAAGAAATTGTGGAGAAAGAGAGCATTTTTTTTTCTGTAAAAACGCAATCACTAACTTACATGGTCAATCAAACCTAGGTCATGGGCTACATAAACTCTAAGACGGTCTAAAGTTTTATTTACAGACGCATGATGACCCACTGCAAATAGAATGAGATCACTTGGTCCTGCAGAGCATCGCCTTAACAAATTCTCTCTAGTTGTAGGATCCATACTTGATACTAAAGCAGAAATTGCCTCAACATTCCCTAAAATCAAAGGTTTATGCAGTAGAAATGGAATATAATAAATATCTATCACTACCATAAAATAAATATTATTAATAGAAAATTCATCATTTACCATCATCCAAGACCTTGAGAAAAGGCAATCCCTTTGCACCAGATTTGAGTGCTTCGTTGTAAATATCACCTTTCTTAAGAGCTGAATTTGAGTATTTTTTGGTACCAGAAGGTACACATAACACTTTGATAACTCCCCCACTCTCCAAGGAATCAGAGAAAACCTTGAAGGAAGACCCTGAGAAAATGTCAGATACCTGCAACACCGGAGAAGTTATATAAATAGCAAGATTCCTTAAGAAGCAAATATAGGTAGTAGCTACTACAATACAAGACTACAGCAAGATATATCAATTATCAAATCAAAGAGAATATGAACACAGAAGAGAGGATCATCAAAAACAACTACCATACAAAAAGAAACTGTAAAACTGCTTTGGAGGTGAAGAAAAATTATTACATCTTTCAACTCGAGATCAAATCTGGTATCTGGTCGGTCTGAACCATATCTACTAATTGCTTCAGCGTATGTAAGCCTGGGAAAAGGGTTTGGTAATTCCACACCTTTAATTTCAAGGAAAACCTGCAACAAATGCTCCCTACTTACATTAACAAATTACTTGGAAAATGAGAGAAAATGGAAAGAAAGGAAATGAGAGAAAAGAAAATGAAGAAAACCAATTATGCAATTCAAAAAGCAATCATCATACTGACTACAATTTGCACAAAACTAAGAAAAACCAATCTATCTGTTAATATAATCAAATTTTGAATGTAAAGGACTTCCAATTGCATTGGGTACATGCACAAAAAGAAAAAAAAGAGGTTATTAATTATTATGATGTTGAAATAATAAATTATGAATGTAAATCAAAGACTTAAGCTTATGCAAATCACATTCCACCACTTGAAGTTCATTTGATGTTCAAAGATGCTTATTTTATGATGTCATGAACTCAAAGATGCTGTTTTTCATGTTCAAGTTACTGCACGGGGATTGAATTGAGAGAAGACAAAATAAGGGGCAAATTCAGAACATTCCTATATTTACAGCTTCCATAGGGTTTTCTATGCTATATAGACTATAAAGAAGAAAATTTTGGACGTGGGACTTGCCCCCAAGATTTTTTTCCTTCACTTTTTCTATGCTAAACCAAATAAGAGAAAATGAGCTTTTCTATCTATTTTTTTCTCCTTTTCTGCTTCCTTCTAAACCAAACAGTATGCAACTAATAAGCATATATTCTTTCTAGATTTCTTAATACTATTCATGTCATTATGTGTCTGTTAATAGGATTGATAGGAGTTTTCCACTAAAATTTGTCTTTAGTTATCCTCCATTCTCAATTGATATTTATACCTGCTTCTAAATCTTCAATGATGACATTTGACATTTCAAATCACCAAAGTTCCCTTCTATTTTATTCTTTATTCCTCTGTTCGAAATTTTCACCTCAAGTCATGAAATGCTTTTACTAGTTCCAAATTTCAAAATAAGGAATAAAATGCATTTTATAAGCTGTTAGAGAGGTCTGATTACAAATAGTATAGACTAACCTTTCTAATCAATTCTTCATTTAGTGTCAACATATCTTCTAAAGGAGTAAAGGCCATTTCCATATCTAGCTGCGTGAACTCAGGTTGCCTATCAGCTCTTAAATCTTCATCGCGAAAACATCTGGCAGAAAGTAAATTGCATTTTAGCCAATAAAAAAAAAAGTCACTTGCATGATAACTGTTTCTATTTTAAGTTTGGTATTGCTTAAAAAAACAAGCATTCTATATTCTTCGTTTATGGAAGTCATGGAAAGAAAATGCATATTTTAATAGGGAAAAAGCTTAGAGAGAAAAAGGAAAAAGCACCACATGGGGAACAATAACATATCCTCATAAAAGAAGCCAAGCTACAAATAAAGACTTGAGGCATGTTTGTTTTGCCATCAAGTTCCATTGAAAGGAAAAGCTATGTTAGATAGTTTTTCCATTCAATGGAACTTTGGAATTCGCATTTTTGCTAAAACAAACACACTATTAAACATTAGATGAAAATATTACCTTGCAATCTGATAATATTTATCAAAACCAGCTACCATTAGCATTTGTTTAAATAGCTGAGGACTTTGTGGCAAGGCATAGAATGTTCCTGGCTTCATAATTCATGTGATAGTTAATCAACAAAATATCAATTAAGTAGCTCAAAAAATAGATAATAAGACTCACATTTCTTTTTCCTCTCACTCTTAGCAATTCTCTGCTCATCAAAGATATTACTCTAATAAAATAAAAACCAATAAATGGCATAATGTAGACAAATAGTCCATGCAGCTATGGATCTAACTCATGATAACTGTACGTCTGTACCATGTTTGCAATCATTTCTTCACTGCTGTTGTGATTCAGGAATTGTGTGTATTGTTGTACACACACCAATCTTATTTATAGAATGAATACAATAAATGATAGAGATACTAATCTCTTATATTATGGAAACTAATCTAATCATATCCTTAATTGATAGTGAGGATAATAACCATAATATATGTATCCACAATATCTGTAATATATTCACAATATCTGTAACAATTGCCATAGCATAAAAGAAGTTGCAAGGATATGCATATAGATACAGGTATGAGATATGACATTTATAAAAGAATTAGTGTCTGGGTATATTAATATGAATTTTTTTAAAAGTATACACAGAAAAATATCTATTATATTGAGTTCTTTACTCTATTGTAATTGGAATGCATATTAAACCAGGAAAAATAAAACTTAACAAAATATTTAGAGAAATCTAATACAAGGTTGTCCAAACTGGACACCCGTGTTGCTGATAAGAAACCCAACATATTTAAAATGTTACATATAAATCATTAGTTTAAGATATATCAGGTAAAATTTATGATCATAGTCTTGTGTAACAAAATCTGAAATTAATAATCTCATGCAAGAGGTGAAAATATCAAAATACCTGGATTCTTGATGGAACTAGATAATCCCGGGCACCTTCTGGTGTGGACCTTGATAGTATTGGAGTTTCAATCTGTCTTATGACCAAAAAACGATAAGATCAACACAGGATACCCAAACACCAACCACCGTAGTGAGTAACAGTGGATGGCATGCAATAAAATTACCCATTGAAGAGAGAAAATAGCATAAGTGATGAACTCACAGGATAGTACCTCCACAAAACCATGAACATCTTCTAGATATCTTCGAATGAGTTTAACCACATTATGCCGAAGCAAAATGTTGAAATTCATTTGTTGCCGCCTCAGATCAAGACATCGATACCTGCAGAAAAGCAATTATAAGTACTAGATCTCTTGTAAACATACATGAAACAACAAAGAATATGTATTATCAAGGAAGTTTGGATAGTTCAATCACAAAAATTCTCTCTTTTTTACAAAACCTGAAGCTAAGTCAAATATGCCATTTACTAAATAAATCACTTACTAAATGCAAATATAGACCACAAAAATAATAGGAAAAATTCATAAAAACCTAAGATCAGATAAAAGTAAATGCACCAAACAGGTGACTTAAGCAAATTAAAGAATAGAAGCTATTTTCCCTTTAGATTGACAAGTTAAACAGTATGTCTATTCTTGTTTTAAATCTGCATATGTTAGATATCTGTAGTGCTTCATTAAGAAAATATGAAACTCATAAACTATTTAATTCATTCTTTTGTATGTTTACATACAGTCATGTTGACAATAGAAAGATTGATGTTAAGTTGTTAACTCGCCAATATCACACCTACTCTTAAAACCTAATGAGTGATATAAAGAGGGCAATTTGCTTCTCTGCATTGTATATCTCATGTGAACATTGGAGTTTTTGAGAGATGCCACTACTAGAACGCAAACATGTGAATAGTTCAAGGTAAAAAATTCACAGTTAGTTGTTTGTCAAATATGTATTGAAATTATGAAACCCCAATCAATGGAAAGAGCATTAAAAAGTAGAATGCACTCAATCATTCCTAGTCTAGAAAATGTTACTAACACTAGGATGTAATTAATTTGGGTAAATTTATAAATCATTCCTTGATGATTAAATCCTCTCAAAATCCCTCTTTGATAAAGTCATCCATAGCCATCATTTATTATGCTCATCCAGTCATCCTGTAATTGACCACTAGCCTCTCTGCCTTAAACTTTAAAACACTGCTACTGTCCATGCTAAACATTAGGGGAGACAGGAGTCGTAAATCAAGTTTTAGGTGATATGTTTATGCATGACTTGGGAGCGATTGATCTACTCAGTTGAGTGTCTGTGTTTTCCATCCTTCCAGGCTTTGATTTTTCATATAAAGATGCTTATGATATGGAAAGTAGTGTACGTACTCATTTCACTAAGGACTGGATACCTCTAAGACAACTATAGAAGTAATACAGCTATCTTTATATGCAACTTACTTTTGTTAAACATTTGCTAAGCTACCTCAACCGGATTTAGGCAATTACCTCAATCGGATTTCCTCTTTAAGAGAGTCTTTTGCATCATCTGCTGTAGTCACTAAGAATGGCAGCTTTGAATTTACAGAATTTAGCACTTGAACTCTATTTGCAGCAACCTGTCACACAAAAAGTTGGTTAATATAAATAATAAATAAAAAAAATTCAAACAACGGGCAAAAAAATGATGATCGGAGTCCAAACACCAATTGCTTGAAAACAGAGCACACTTCTTCACAGAATAACAAGCAAGAAACATAGAGAAGAATTGGAATTCAATAAATAAATACAGAATTTTCATATTAAAATAAAACCATTGAGCAACCAAATTATTGTCAATTCAACAGAAAAATGAGAATTTTCCTTAGTAATGATATATACCTCGATGAGGCCTGTTTTCATCTTCTTGTTGATTGACTCATTCGGCCTAGACCTGACAACACCTTCAATGGCAACCACGTACTCAAGCCTCAAGTCATTGATAGCAGAATGGGCATCTGGAAATTCATCCGGAAGGGTTGTAACCTGAAATTCAAGCTCAATTAGAATACACACCGAGTCCAATTACAAACAACAACAATAATAGTAAAGCAGTGAATGCAGGAAGAATACTAAGGGCAACAATAGTATGCATTAACACAAAAGCTTCTTTGAAATGAATGCGGATAAGAAAAACAACTATTTGCAACATCCAAGCACCTGAACAATGCCAGTGTGGTCTCTGAGATTAAGAAATGTAAGGCCACCATGGACCCTGTGAAGGGCAACCCACCCACAAAGCTGGACCTTTTTTCCCACATCATTCAAAGTCAATTCACCACAAAGTGCAGTCCTGTTGACCCACTCAAGGGATTCACTCAGGGCAAAAGGTGGTTTGGCATTAGAAGTGAGTGTTTCAGAAGTAGAAGGAGATGTTTGTGTTGAAGCAGAAACGGAGAACACGTTTCTTGTTCTGGAAAGTGTCAGTGGAATGGCGCTGGGAACTCTGCAGAGAAACGCCAAAGATGGCCTCGTGCGGATGGCCATCAAAGGCAAAGCTTTAAGGAAAAGAGACATTTTTTTTTTTTTCAGATAATGGATACCCAGTAACGAAATATCCTTAGAGGCCCCTTGAGTGTTCAGAAAGTGGACAAAATAATCGGATTTTGTAGAGGAAACAGATTGAAAAAACAAAACTAAAAGTAATGAATTGGTGAAGATTGGCGCTGAGAGGAAGACTTGCAGCTAGTGAGAATAATGGTTGGAAAATAGAATAATTGTAGAGAGCCCATTGGGCAGAAGATGAGAAACCAAAAAAGGAAGAACCAGTCCAGCAAGGTGCGGTGGGAAGGAAGGAGATAACAGATGAGAGATTCTTTTCCTGAAACGACGTAGTCTCATGAGGTCGATAAATGGCCAATGGGCAAGTATGTCAAATAATGGGCTCGTTAGGGCTGAATATATATAATGGGCCTGTATAACCAAACTATGACTATATACATCTTCTTTTTCTTTTTTCTATAAGTACACTTTCTTTAAAAAAATAATTAAATTTTTAAAATATTTTTAATTTTTGTTTTAAATTTTTTAATTTTACATCCATAATATTTAATTTATTATTTTTTTTTCACATATCTTTCTTCCTTTTTTAATTTTTACATGCACCCTCTTATTTTTCCTTCACCCCACCTATTTTAGTAGCATTTGAAAATTGAAAGAAAAAAAAAAAGTGTGTGAATAAGAAAAAGAAAGTAACAAATTAAAAGTTAAAAGTGTAAAATTAAATTTTTTTAAAAAAATTATAATATTTTATAATTTTAAAAAAAAAAAAGGAAGTGTACTTATAAAAAAAAGGAAGTGTGTATATCATGAGCCGGTTAAACACCTATAATGGGCTCGTTAGGAAATGTAACGTGTCGTCTTGTTCTTCGGTCCATCACCACTGATTTCTCAGTACCTTTGAGGAGAATGAACAAAGAAGGGCTGCACTAATTTCCTAAAAGGGAAAAAACAAATACAAAATAAATGAAAGAGAGGTATATAAATAAAAATTTAAATAAATAAAAAATAGAACCTGTGTTTAACAAAAGCCCCAAACCATACTAACGAAGAGCTCATTAATGGGCCTGAAGCTGTCCTGATGTGTTTGAGTCTACTCTACCACAAACTCTCTCATTCTTTAAACCAAAAAACAAAACAAAACAAATTCTATGAAGAAACTTTAGAAAATGTTATAAGAACATCTTGATTAAAAAAAATAAGGAAAAGCTAAAATTTTAGATAATATTATAAATCAACCAGTATCTCGCGCATTGTATAAATATTTAAGTAATATACAAATATATAATGCAAAAAATAATTAAGATTGTTTTATTGGTAACAATATATAAAAATCAGAAGAAAATTTGCTTAAATTTTTTATTTTAAAAATAATATAAAATTTATTTAATGGAATGTTACTTTAATAATTGTTGCTAAACTTTAAAATTAAAACTATTTTTTAAAGTAGATGGAAAAACTCTGTAAAAAAAATCAGTAGAGTTAGTCTAATGATAAATAGTTCAGATAGTTTGTAATCATTGTACACCAAATAAATAACTTCCTGTATAAAAACAGATAAATAAAAAATAACGTATAATAGTATAATTAATTATTAGACCAAAATTATTGAAACTTTTTTATCGGTTGTAAATATTTTTATTAAATGAGATGAAAAAAAATGAATTTATATTATTATTTTGATGATTATATCTTAAACAAAAAAATGTAGTGATTTTATTGAATTTTTCTCAATGGATTAAAAAGCAATAGATATCATAGTTTTAAAAATTAGACAGGTCATCAAACCAGTTAAGGTATTGGATCAGTGGATTAAAGGTTGAATCGGTGGGTCACTAGTTGAACCACATTACTTGATTTTTATTATTTTTTTAAAAAACATTTATGTTAAATATATTTTATACTTATAATTTTTAATAAATTTATATCTTATTTTAAATTTTAATTTTTCTATCTTATTTAAAATTATTTTTATTTTTATTTTGTAAAAAAATACATATAAAAAATTACATGTTAAACTATATATTAATACAAATTAAAAATATAAATAGTATGTACATATATAATATGCTTGCAATTGATATCACAAAATAATATATGTAATATCTACATAGATATTATATTATTAAATATATAATTTAAAATTAATAATATACTATAAAAGTTATTTAAGTTGTATATATTACAATTTACAAACAAATACATTAGAATAAGTAGTCATTGTTATATTTAATAAGACTCTTTGCTCTTCCATTAAGAAAATTCAATTTTCATTATTATTTTTGTAGTTTATGGTTCTTTAAAAAATAAAAAAGAAATTAAAAATTAAAAAAAAGTGTGGTTGAACCGGTTTGACCCACTAGTTCACCGGTTAAACCGAAAAATTGATCGGTTCAATCCAGTTTAAAACGGGTCGACTGCATAACCGATCCAACTTAAGATTCGAAACCGGTTGGACCGGGACTATCGGTTCCCGGTCCAACCGGTCTGACCAGCTGGTTCGATCCAGTTTTTAAAACATTGATAGATACTGTGGCATTTGTTTTTATTTTATTTTTGGGAAGTGTTTATTTTCTATTCAAAAAATAATAATAATATCTAAACAATATTCCTTTTAAAATAATGAATAATTAATCTTTATCCTTTTGATTTTCCTTAATAAATTAATATTTTATTTAAAAAATAAATAATTTAATAATTAAAATGAATAGCATAATATTAAAACAATAATTCAAAACAAATAATTTGGCGGCAACAAACATGGGACAACTAGAAGGAATACTATTGCGGTTGAGAGAAAGTGATAAAAGGAGCACTAAAAATCGAACTAAACAAGTTAACTCATTTTTAAGAATAAAGTAGTATTTCAATATGTAATTTTATACTTCGAATCGAATCTTCAAAACATAATTGTGAAACCATTTTTATTGACACCTTTATGCAACTAGAAATTGAAAAGTTAAAACAACCGGACACAATCTAGTTAGTAGGAGTTAAAATATGCGTATAAGATTTTAAATTTAAATCATATTATTTTACTGTCATTATAATTTTTATGCATAAAAGGAATAAAAAAATTAACCTACTACATAAAGTGATTCTAATAAATTCTACTATAAAATATCAAAATAAACTAATTTACTAAACATGTCTTTTTAATTTAAACAAACTTTTCAACTAATAAAATAAACTTTCAATTAATTGAAACTTAATTTCAAGCATCAGGTGTTATATATATATATATAATGCCTGCAGCAAATATTTATAATTTATCTATGCATTTTTATTAAATATATATATATATATATATATATATATATATCATTGCGATAACTACTATATTATCGTTTCAAACTTTGAATTTCAATTGTTTGGGAGATATGGATAAAATATTGTCGACACCGTCCACAATTTATTGCTTGTAATTCTATTTGTGTTTCGATTAGGCATGCAAAACTTGCACTCTTGATAAATTTGTGCCTCGGATTACACAAATCTCATTTTTCTTTCATGAAAACAAAAATATTGCACTGGCAATTCATCAGTGTTATGTTTTCTTAATTTAAAGTGTTCATATTGACCTGTCCCTTAAAAATGAGAGCATGGTTTTAAATTGCGGACCGCAACACGTGTTGCGGCCGCAATATTGCTGTTGCGGCCTTGTCCGCAACGGCATCGGACCGCAATTGCGATGATACTGGAAATCACACATTTTTCCGCAACGTAACGGTGTTGCATCCGCAACACATCTGCAATGTACCGCAATACATCCGCAATACGATAAATTGATACTATAATTTTAAAATAAATTAAATTATTCATTAAAATAATAGAATATTTTAAAAAAAAAGGAATTAAAATGTATAAATCCTTAAAAATAAAATATATATTGATAATTATAAATTTTTTATATTTAGTGAAAATAATTAATAATCTCACACCACAACAGACGCAATCCGCATCGCAATACCCGCAATACCCGCAACCACAGTAACTGCAACCGCGACCGCAACCGCAATTTAAAACCATGTTCAAGACATTAACCATTAATGTACCTCTTGAGCAATTATACAAGTCACCAGGTTGGCCATTGATGGTGTAAGCATCTGATGCATTGGGCTCGCCACCATTTGCCAGGGCTGAATTGATGATCTGCATCACATCTCCCTTATACCACTCTCCTAAAAGAACACCAAAAGCACAAGAGGTTGTGTGTGATTGAACATATATAGGAAATTTAAATGGAATTTTCATTACACAATTACCAACCAATGATAAGAATTTCTTGTCCATAAGGTTCAGGGAAAGGATATGAAGTTCCATTGGCAGGTAAAATGAGAATGGCACCATGGACAGTGGCACGAGTCCAACTGCTGTGTGCATGCCACCAAAGAGTTCCTTCTTCCAATGTAAAGGCCACCTTCTGGGTGAAACTTGTTCCAGGTGGAATTGGGCATTGTGTTATGTTCTCAGGTCCATCTGACCAAGGGTCTCTTGGTTCCCTCACACCATGCCTGTAAAAGTGTTTCAACTTTTCAAGACTTACTATTTTTGATGCATTCACACCCTTCATGAGTTATATTTCATTAATTTTCTTTATTTATAAACCAATGCAATTTTTAGCATGGTTTTAAATTGCGGACCGCAACACGTGTTGCGGCCGCAATATTGCTGTTGCGGCCTTGTCCGCAACGGCATCGGACCGCAATTGCGATGATACTGGAAATCACACATTTTTCCGCAACGTAACGGTGTTGCATCCGCAACACATCTGCAATGTACCGCAATACATCCGCAATACGATAAATTGATACTATAATTTTAAAATAAATTAAATTATTCATTAAAATAATAGAATATTTAAAAAAAAAAGGAATTAAAATGTATAAATCCTTAAAAATAAAATATATATTGATAATTATAAATTTTTTATATTTAGTGAAAATAATTAATAATTTCACACCGCAACAGCCGCAATCCGCATCGCAATACCCGCAATACCCGCAACCGCAGTAACTGCAACCGCGACCGCAACCGCGACCGCAACCGCAATTTAAAACCATGAATGAGAGTAATGTAGAAAAATGCCAAAGGTGACCAAAGTCTAATGATTAACATTATGTAATAGACGATAGGCATATTGATAAATGATAAGGACAGCACTGAATATCCGTGAAGCAAACTTAGCTACTGCACCAACAGGCAACAGAATATCGATAACTTTTTTTAATTTGGGGACCATAAATAAGCTCCATATATTTTATAATTAAGTAAGCTGTGACCAAAAATATATATATTTTATAAGCAAGTTCCTCTCGTGAACCTATCTAGAGAGCTGTCCACGTGAACTGCTAGCTTTTTTTTATTCTTATTATTATTGACGAAAAAGAAAAGAAGGGAAAGTGTGGTTTTGGTTTGTGGGTTTTGTGCTAAAATAGGTTCATGATGTTGAGGTTAATTCTTTGCTCCATTCTTTCCTGGTAGTCTTTTCATTTCATTCACGGGTTGTTGCATGTTGCTTCTGTCTCCAATCTCAAAATGTGCCAAACAATTTCTAGACTTCATCTGCTCCTGTCACTCTCATGTAGCTTCATGTGAGAGAGAGATGCTTGGTTGGGTTAATATACATGTGGTTCCAACATTTACAGACATTCACATTTTCCTATTTATTATATATGTGTAATATTGTGGGACTCTCAAATCTCAATACATTCTCATTTATCCGAACCTAAATTTAACAGTAGTTATTAATTTATTGTTCTCAAACATATATATGCTAACTATATTTTGTAAAAATCAAACTGGTAATCATTTACCGTGTGATATGAATCATAGGATAGGATATTATTTTATCTTAATCAGTAACTTTAATACATATAAGGGCCGGCGTTAAATTTTTGGAGGCAAGCAACTTTACCAGCAGTTAATTAGTCACTTAAGTATATGGAAGATATATACTTATGGTTTCAAGTTCGTTTAATGAAAATTAACAGTCGACTCAGTTTAGATTTTGATATATGATTATTGCAGTTTACACAAATACAAGTCTATTTGTTTCATTGGTGACCGAATGAACCAGCAAGAAACCAGAATACCATAACCACACACAAGTTTGAAAACCATAATGTTACTTAATTACCCAATTTTATATTCATAGCTAAAGATTATTCATATATGACTGGATTTGTATTTAAGAATCATAAATGATATAATATTATTTTTTTTTAGAAAAGTGATATGATAAGCTATTATTTGAGAAATTTTATATTCTTATATATACAATATCTTATATAATATATATAAAAATATTTTACAATTAAATTATTAAAAATATATTAGAGAAAATAAAATAATTATAAATAGTTAGTCAATAATCAATTTACTAGTTGACAAAAATCTACTAATAATTTTAGAAAAATAAATTAATAATATTACATGTGAAAAATAAAGTGTGATATGTTATTAATTTATTTTTTCTTTCTTGGTGTGAACTTTCATAAGTGATAATTTAAAATCATAAGTAAGAGTTATTTTTAATTTTCTCATTTTTTATTTATAATTTATTTGATTTTATTTTTATTTTTAAATTAAAACTTATCTTACTTCAACAAAATTTTCACCTCTTCATTGTGAGTCATAATTATTGATTTATTTCTCATTGCATAATAATATCTAATGATAACTCATAATTTCATACTAATGTACTGTATATTTAGTCACTTTTTTATGTAATTGTGTTTAACTATTTGTATGTTTACACCTTTAGATTTGAGAATTAGAATTATTAGTAATATTTAAATATTCATGAAGACATTATTTTTTCACTTTACTCAAAACACTAAAAAAAACTCCGAGTTAACCTTGTACAAAGACTCAAAAGAAAAATTTTTAATTTGAAGGATCAAAATAATAATTTTTTATATTTTAGATACTAAAAGCACAAATTTTAAATTTTGGGGACCAAATCATATATACCTCAAATTTGAAAACTAAAAATGTAATTAAGCCTATAAAAAAATTATGAATTACCTTATCAAACATGTGAGTTTGTTTTACAATAATAGATTTTTAAATGGAGAAATGATAGCAATACATTCTCTAACATATTCTTTTACACACATTCTTTAATTAGTTAAAATTTATTAGAAAAATATAAAATTTAGTAGATCTTATTTAATGACTCTATTTCCTGATTTTTTTATTTTTAATAAATTTTAACTGATAAAAATAAATATATTTAAAGAAATGTGTTGCTTACACTCATAAGTCATAATGTAACACAATAATAATTAGATTGAGTAGAGCTTATACGGATCTGATTTTTTGGTGTTCCGCTGTTTCTACAATTTTATATTTAATACACGCATCTCAAAAGACATAACAGAATAATTTTATTTTAACAGTGTTAAGTTTAAAAAAAAAAAAAAAAAAAAACAAAGTTATATATTTTATTTTATATATTTAAAAAAAATATAATATTTACATTTCTTGATAAGAAAGTGTAATTTACTTAAATAAATAAATAAAAAGGTACTCAAGCTTAAAAATATACATTAACGCGCGTGCCTTGAAAATATACATTGACAAACTTGATTATTAGAATTTGCCTAGTAATCAAGCACCTAACTCAAGCTTGTTCCAGGAAAAGATATGGAAAAGATATGAGCAGAAAATAATTAGTTCTCAATCAATTTACACCTACCAGAAGACAAAACCTTGATTAAACTCTGTAGCTAACCCAATAATTAGCTTAAAATTATAATAAACATTAATGTACATGCATGTATTTATATACATAGTTTTATTTGAAGTGACAAAGAGCCCTTTACAGTTTGCCTGCTACACTTATTAGATGTTTCCTCGGAGCTGCCATGGTATTAACAAATAAGAAGGCAAAGCATAGAGCCAAAAATCCATGTTGGAGTATCTTTAGGGCTTATATTATGCGCAAAAACGCATGCATGTATATAATTTTGAACCCTAACAAAACACTGTCCATTAATACACATAAAAAGTACAACCCCAGAATAAGCCGCCCCCAAACTAAAGCTGAACCATAAAAAACTATATTTGAAAGAGAAAGGACCAGACAAAGGACCAGACAGCATCTTTATCTTTAATTATCATAACTAAAACAAACCTAATTCAATTAAATTATATCTATAAAGAAAAAGGATAATTGCTTTCCCATAAAATAATAATAATAACAATAATCACGTACGGGCACTACAAAATTTTCTGGGGCGAATCGCACTGCATAATTTATATTGTATTGTAAAATTACTTTGAGGTATATAATAATAACATTAAACATAATAATTTTTTTAAGTGGTCACCATCGAATTCGAATTTTGTCCATGCAATTGTATTATAATTATGTAGAGAAAATTTTATCATCCTCGATAGTTCCACCTGATTTGAGTTTTTTTTCTTTCTTTTTTGCACAGTACCTGATTTGAGTCTGAATAAGACACCCCAAATTTTTTATAAAAAAAATCATAAAAGAGAACAGGTTTATCGTGTAGTTGGACCAAGAAATATTGAAAGTAAAAGTGATAACTTGCATATCATTTTAGCAGAAATAGTTGTTTTAATTGTTTTTGAGAATATACTCGTACAGAGATACAGGACTAGCCAATATTTGGAAGATTTATTGAACTTATATCTCCGATTGATGTTTTAATCTTCCATACACACTAATTTTTATTTTTATTTTTGCAATACACACCAATTTGAAGATTGAACTCTTTATACCTAAAAATATAGTTTTTTGTTAACTATATTTCATTATATCGGTCTAGTTTTAATTTTTAAAATATATAATGAGAAAAATTAAAGACTAATCAATATACTAGGAAAAAAATTTTGAGCATTAACGAAAACAGTAAATGCCAATTTTTAAAATATATAAACATTAAATTAAGGCCTATTTAGTTTAAAGGAAAAGAGAGAGAAAGAGATGAAAGAAGGTAAATTAAAATTTTTGTTTAATTAAGAGAAAAAGAGAGTCATCCTCTCCTAAAAATTGAATCAAACAAAAATATATATAAGAACTCCTCTCCTCCTCTTCATTTTCTCAAACCAAGCATTATGTATGTAAGGTGAAAACTCAACAAAAAATCAATGTTAAGTACTCGAGGTGAAATATTAATAACATTATTAATCAAATCGTAATAATTGTTATAATGAGTTATCTTGAGAAAAAAGTAATTTTATTAAATTTTTTAAATAGGTCTTGTACGGGTAGGGGCGTTCGGCCACTTCTGGTCGGCCGCCGAATGGCAGTATTTGGTGGCCGAACAGCAATCGGCCACCAGGACCGAACTATCATTACTCATTTCTCTTAACCCGTGATTAGGGGTTAATCAGATGATTAAGGTGTATTACCTGATACGGTAAATACGTTGCAGGGCCCATGGGGTCCAGGGCCCATAAATGTCAGTATAAATAGCTCAGGTCAAAAGGTAACGTCACTGTTCATTAATTATCCTAGATATCTGTGCTTGTCCTGACTTGAGCGTTGGAGTGCCTTTTGCAGGTACCAACCCCTCTATTCACATCGGATTGGAGCACTCGTTCGGCCTTCAGATTACGAGAAGATCATTGGTGTACCCC